TTTGATTGTAATACAGTGATTATAATAAAAGTTTGATTGTAATACAGTGATTATAATAAAAGTTTGATTGTTATACAGTGATTATAATAAAAGTTTGATTGTTATACAGTGATTATAATAAAAGTTTGATTCTAATACAGTGATTATAATAAAAGTTTGATTGTAATACAGTGATTATAATAAAAGTTTGATTGTAATGCAGTGATTATAATAAAAGTTTGATTGTTATACAGTGATTATAATAAAAGTTTGATTCTTGCCAATGGTGAAGTCCTATTGTCTTTACTTAATTTGAATATTATTGAAGACAAATTCCTGGACAGTAATCCTGTGGCTGTTGGAGAATAGCAAACAAGGGCTCCGACATGTCTGTATTATTAAACTGTTGTGTTATATGAGAGGCAATTAATAGATTTCTGCTGAGACCGTGGTAGTTATGCAAATTTTTAATATGGCCGACGGGAGAGGTGGCTTGTTGTTTGCTCTCACACTTTTGACCTTTTTAAGAACGCAGTCATCAAATTACAATGGAAGTTTCGCTTCAAATAAACTATTCAACCCAAAGGATCCAGCTATAACCGGCGTTGAGAGCCACAACTTCAGCAATTCTGTGTTTGGACAATTTGAAATTCTGAAGCGAAGATCTCACAGATTACAGCTAACGGAAAAGGTAAACAAATCAAAAGTGTCGCTTTTGTTTACATGTTTATTGAAATGTGGCGACGTTCATCCCCACCCTGGACCCAATGAGCAAAACAATGACAGTGACTTTGTAAAATTCCACAAAAAGGCCTTCATTTTGTATATAAATGTACGATCGTTATTACCGAAGATATCAGAATTGAGATCACTCGCACGTAATACACGTGCGGCTGTACTTGCCGTAAGTGAAACCTGGCTCGACGACACGGACGCGTTTCACGAGATGCACATAAACAGCAATAGTACGGTCAGACGGGACAGAAATAGAAAAGGCGGAGGTGTGTGTATTTATATCCGAAATGATATCGGTTTTACAATAAAGGACATACCAAATGATACAACTAAGTCTACTTGGTTTAACATTTCATTACCTAAAACCAAACCAATTTTTGTCGGGGATGACAAATTTCTTGAAATTTTGGTCGATTTCAATATCTGCGTCCATCAGAATAGACACATTTTGTATAGAACCTACAACGAGATTTTAAATAAATTAAATGTGAAACAACTTATAATGGATTTCGCTAGGATCACATCTAATTCCACAACTATTATTGATCATATTTTATGTAATTCTCATGAAAATAACCCATCATGGTGTTCTTCATACTGGTTTTAGTGGCCATTTTACCTACGTTTAAAAGTCACAACACTATGATAATACGCTCAATGTCAGTCTATATCAAGGATGATTTCATTCAAAAAACTTTAAGATGTTGATTGGTTCTCTTTCTTTTCTATAACAGACGTGAATGACGCATGGAACAGCCTTAGTGAAATAATATTAAATATCATCGACAATCTTGCTCCGTTTAAGGAAATATGCACCAAGCAAACGACAGACCAGTGGATTAATGGGGAGATTTTGGAAAATATTAAAAAACATAAATGCAGGATAGACGGACACAAGAAGCATACATCGAGTTTTGGAAAATCAGAAACTAAATACAAAGAGAGATTAAAACTGCTAAATAAAACTATTATATAGACAATAGCGGAACACAGGGACAATCCTAAACACTATGGAGTATACTGAAGGACATGGGTCATGCTCCAAAAAAGGTTAATCCAGTATCATCTTGGAAATAGATAATGTTTTATGTCATGATTCAAATACTATCGTAATTACTTTAATGCGTTTTACACAAATGTTGCTGAAATATTAGTTGCTAAATTGCCAAACTTCCAAAATATTTACGGCACCTGTTCTGAGTTGTTCTAATTATTTCATCGGAAAAAAATGTAAGACAACTTTTTCATTTACACCTGTTACCTATGATTTCGTTTTCAATCAACTTACAAATTAAAACCCGTCCATTAACCATGTAATTAATCTATCCTTCTATTTCCAGGTTGTACCAGATAGTCTGAAATCCGAGAGTTCCACCTAATTATAAAAAAGAAATCTAGAACAGATGCCGGTAATGATAGGCCGATCAGTATTTTAAATTCTATGTCAAAATATTAGAAAGATCAGTTTATTCCCAACTCAATACTTTTCTGATGGATAACAATTTATTGTACCAACATCAATCTTGGTTTAGAGGATATTATTCTACAGATACGGCCCTGATACACCTGTTTGATCATTTAAAGTGTCAGTTGACAAAAGGATTGATACTGTTGGATCTACAAAAAGCGTTCGACACTGTCGACCATATAATTTTGTTATTTTATTTTGAGGCAATGGGGGTTGAGTGTACATCCTGGTTTTCTTCATATCTGTCTTCTAGAGACCAAATCGTCTCTATTAAAAATGTTGTATCTTCGTCTAAAAAAAAGTTACATGTGGGGTACCCCAGGGGAGTATTTTGGGACCCCTTCTTTTCCTGTGTTATGTCAATGACATGGAACTAAGCATTAAGTAAAGATTCCAAATTAATTCTGTTCGCAGACGATAGCGCAATTCTGTTTTCCATCAAAGACCCTGGGAAATAAAAACAAAACTATCGGAGGAATTGGCAAATTGCCAAGTTTGGCTTGTAAATAACAAACTGTCTCTGCACCTCGGGAAAAATGAAGTTATTCTCTTTGGTACAAAGCCAAAACTTAGTAAAATTAACTCATTTGAAATAACCGTGAATGGTCAATCTATTGAAGCCTCATATCAAGTGCGCTATCTCGGTATCAATGTAGATAACTGCTTAACAGGCCAAAGTATTGTTGAAATCTTAGTGAAAAAAAATTAATTCCAGACTTCGTTTTTTATACAGACAATGTTGAGATTTTCCATTAGACATCAGGAAATCTCTTGTCATTTTGATTATTGTTGCACAGCCTGGTACTACGGTCTAAACCAATAGATGAAGCATCAACTACAGGTTGCCCAAAATAGATGTGTACGTTTTATTTGTAATCTTGGTCCTAGAGAAAATGTTATCCAAAATGTCTTATCCAATTTGAAGCTATTGAATATTGAAAACAGAGCAAAACAATTATGTCTTAACCACATGCACAATGTATTTTATGAAACATGTCCAAGTTCTATGTCATCTAAATTCAGAAAGGTCTGTGACCGACACAATTATGGTACCAAAAACTGTTCATTGAATTTTCTTGTGCCTTCTTGTAAAGGTCAAATCTCTAAAACATCTAATTTGATGGAGTCAAGGCCTTGAATTCGCTTCCTAGTTAATAACAAACGAAACTTTCAAAACCATGTTCAACGTTTTTTACAGGATAATGCATAAATAAGGTTTTGTTTTCTGTGATATGATAATATTCTTACCACACGCATGAACTTTTTAAACATAATTTTAGTTTATTTTAGAAACGTTATATTTTAGGAATAGTTTAACTTTATGTAATAATATTTATATCCGGTATTGTATTGTAATGTTTTTATGTTAAGGGACCACAGTTGAAATAAGTCCACGGACTTTACTGCGTTACCCTGATTAAAACATGAATTGTTTTACAATACATGTATGACTGTAATATAATGTATGTTTTACTAAATAAATCTATCTATCTATGGGATATCTTTTACTCAGGCTGAAAATATCAAAATATCTAGAATGCCGAGTAATAGGTATGTCTTTCCCTCTGTTACTTCTACTTGTGCACTGCATAGAACCCTCTTTTTCAGTGAATGGCCCCTAATTTACAATGAAGGAAAGTTTTCACGATCATGTCACGTTTAATGCAATACTGATTAATTGCACTGAACGACTAAATATATACAGCCAATTAGGATATTCTTATCACTACTTGATGTATCAACATCTGAAAGACACTTTGAATTTAATCTTTACATGAATATATGTTATGCTTAGTAAAAAGCACAATATTTAAAGAAATAACAGTTTTGTGTTTATTAATTCAAGCTAAATATAAACACACGTTGATTAAGGTAGAATTCATATCTACAAAGGATTTCTTCAAAGAAAGAAGGCGGTACAGTAAGAGACAGGTAAAATAAATAATATGACACAGAGCGGCACGAATACGAATTAAATTGGCCGAGCTACACTATACCGGTGAAAGGTGAATAAAAGACCAGCCAAATTCTCAAGTTTAGGTTGTGATGCCTTTGTCCTCGGAACAGACCCATGTAAGATGATAACATTCCTGTACTTGAGACAAGGACATCTCACGAGCTGCCGGTTGTTGTATTGTTTTTCTCTCTCTTGGATTTATCTGGTACCATAACACGATATTTGGCGCCAAGTAACGTTACACGTTAATGTCATATTCAATTGTCTTTTCGACCGATAACTGCAAAGGGAGATGTCATTGAAAAGAATAATTTTGAAAATGAAAATTGTTGAGAAAGGTTTATGCAATTTCACCACGAATGAGATTCTGTTACAGAACATCAAGCCCTCAACTGGGGTTGGGGAGTGGCGGCTGGGGTTAAATGCACATAGTATATCTGGGATACTGAACCTTTACTCACCTTTCCTAATTTAGTGCTGGGGAAGGTTTTTTAATAATCGTAAACTTGCATGTTACAAGCGAATTCCTTCGAATGATCGGCTTGCTTTATTTATTCTTCCCTCCAATGATCAGTTTATCAGAAGGTTGTCTGGTGGGGTTGGATGTAACATTGTAGATGGAATTCGTGGGATAGATGTTAATATCTTGTACGAAAGAAAACTATATGCGGAAGCCATATCTCTAGAGTCTGAAGACCTGAACAGATAATCTCCCATACCAACCAGGTCCATTTGTTGTGTTACTACTTGGTCAAAATGGCCAACAGGCACGAAAGGACGACTTGAAACAATATTAACTTTAAACCGACTCTTGGAATAAGCGAGATGCTTTAACTAAAATCAGCACAAAAACTACATAGAGATAGTGCAGCAACATGATTTATTATTTTTTGAATAATATAATATCTTGTATTACCATAATAGTATCTATCAGTGGCATTGCTGTATAGCAATAAATATATGTAAATAGAAAGTCAACATTATAGTGTATAATGTGTATATATATATATAGACATGGATAACCAGGTGATACTAACACCATTGATATACAATATATATATGTCAACCAGCTGAACCAACAACAAGCACTTTGTGTGATACAATCCTTCAAGTGATATTTTAATGATGAAAATCCCTAGATAAATAGGAAAATATCACACTGTTATAAACCTTGTACATTGCACTGAGGTAAGCTAAATGATATGTTATATCATACAAGCATAATGTAGGGCTGAGGTAATATTCTGAGAGATACAATTATATTATTTCCCAGAATTATAGGTCATGTTAAGATAAGAAAAAAAGATGTGCTTAGTGTTAAATATCTTACTTGTGATGTATGAGATATCATTCAACATTCCTAACTATATCTAAGTCACTAAAAATGTATCATTAAGAACCAGACTCCATGCGGTAACAAGTAGGAGTTAACTGGTCACTGATACCAGTAATATGGACTTATAAATACCAGGAATATTAGCAAGGCACATAGAGATGTTAACAAAGAGGACGGTGAAAATGATAATTGATAATACTATAAGCATACTAATATCTATATATGGCAAGAATGAAGTTTGGTAAGAGCTATCAGTAATATACTATCAGAAAAAAATCACTATAATTTACATATGGAAAACATCCATATACAGCAATATAGCAGCTAGCTTGGAGATCTCTTACCAGTTAAATGATGTCACATGGGTGAATTAGAAGTTGATATTATTAACTGACAGAACACAGAGGACGGCAAGCATGAAGCTTTGGTAAGCTTTACCAGTATTATGCTTAATTGTTTTACAGTCAAAACTGATGACATTGAAATAAAAATAGAACAGTTACGGTAAAATTTGGTATTTGATGAAATTACATGCTTAGGGTTACTGGCTATTCATACCTTAGAACTTTTTATAATTCTCAAAACTGTCATTTTAGAATCTTCAGTCGGTGGTCCAATCTGCTTGAATTCCATGTGTTACTTTAATAGCTCGCTACAAGAAACTAGTCTTTTGTAATGTTTAAACAGCTTTTTCTAATTGCTCTGAATATCAGCATGATGTTTATTTATTTTATTGAAAAGTTCTAAACTTAGAGATAGTATATTATAGTCTATATATAAGCTCACCAAAACTGATTTATTGATGTCAATCACAAATCACTTGTAGATTTCTGTTTATGCACTACATCAAGCATTAAAACATACATCGTAACACTGATATTTCTTTTGTAAAACAAATGAAGATGAACGAAAGACCAACGCTATTAACAATTTACATATCATGTCAGGCATTTTCTTTGTTGACTCTAATCAGTACCAATACAGGTACATGTATGAGTAAAGTCTATAAAATGGACATCATAATGTCACTATCTTGTGTAATATAGTTGCTTTGATTTTGTGTCATTTCACAGAACAATGTATCGTCAATGTTTTCAATGAATAAGATCTGGAAACATACATTGCATTTTGATCTTGTCTAAAGTTTCCTTAATAAATATCACAAGTAAATTTAGTAGATAAGAATGGTACACAATAGATTTATCATAGTCAGTACAATACTATATATATAGACACAGAAAACGTGGCAGTGAGTAAAACAGCGAAGTAAACATGGCACATCACAATGTAGTTTTACTGGACAGACACAGAGGCTGTTAAATCATGTACATATTTAAACTTCACTCCATTCAATTTTTTAAAGCTGTAATGATGTTTCTTCATACAGTTATGATAAGAAAGAAGATAAACATTGTGTTATGAAAGTTGTAAAGCAGAAATACAAACTTCTAAATCAAAATCCAATTTCAGGTCAAGGTCGTTTAATTTGATCTCGAGTGAGACGTGTTTAAGTTCAAAATACGAAAAATCATGAGTACAAATCATTATTACATTAGTAGAGGTTAAGATAGTGAATAAAGGTGTTGTTGAGAGTGAGGAACCTGGAATGTTTGGGCGAGAAAAAGGAGCTGCCTGCTTGAATCTATGTTTGTAGTGAATGTACAAAACACTAAAACTAAATGCTTAAAAGTTCTAACATAAATGTTGATTTTATCAGACCCCAGAATGATATCTCATTGTCCAAGACCCAAGGGTCAAAGATTACTCAGGTCAACCTGTTGTCTCTTGTAGGCA